TTTTTTTTTTCGTTTTTTTTTAATTTTTTTTTTCAATACAAAGCAATGTAAAAAAGATAGAAATCTGATTAATACCAGATTGCTCTGATACCAAACTGATACGGATAGCACGTGAGACCCATTGGATATATTGATCCAAGAACCAAACATATATGCAGGCAGCGGAATCCCAGATCGGAGATCTAGTTTGATCGTACCTAGAGCTTGAAAACCTCGACCCGTTAGCTATATAATCAGCTAGGAACCTCGGTATGGTGAACGCCACAAGATCTTGCTCAAGTATCTTGATAAGTTCTTAAAACATTTGAAACTCTACAAAAGAGAATTCAACTCACAAAAGTGATTTTTAATATTCAGCAATATTCATAATTATCATTAAAACATAAAATGGCCTTTTTAAAGGCTATAAATTGTGTTAATGAGTTAATCCCGTTTTTGGGACTCATTAAGCACTAAAAACATAGTTTTGACTACATAAATAAGATTACATGACTTTTGAATGACCCTTTGACTTCTAAGATAACTAAAGAGACATTTTGGTCTCACAAATGCTGAAAATAGACAAAATAATGGACACTTCAATTGGGCTACATGCCATGGACGAAATTATGTCTTCAATCCATGAATTAGTCTTTATGCGAACAATCTGGCCCATCAACTTGAAGAATATTCATCAATTTGCCTTCAATCGTTGTTCCTTACGTCTTCTCTTGAAATTCAACAATAAAACACTCAAGACTTCCTTCTTTTTACTAGTTGTTTCTCTCATGATCGGTCCAGCATTTATTTTCAATAGATCCATCTTACTTTGAACAGAGAGCTTCAACCGAACCCCATCAGGTCCGGTCTGAGGGTAGTTAAAACGGATAAAAGAACCGATTAAGTCTTTGTTCAGTGATCCCCCCCTAAGGGTATGAGTTCACTCAGCTTCACCTACTAAAAAGAAGAAAGGAAAGAAATTACTCTTTCAAGCAATAGCTAAGTGGAAATATAACCTTTTTCTAATCCAGTTACATTGCTCCAGCACGGGTTCCCTAGCTGGGGGTAAGCAAAGTCTATCTGGGTGTTCCCTCCGGGGAAGAGCTTGAAGAGGGGTCATTTCCTAGTAAAATCTATTTGTTCAGGTTGAGAAATCACTGGTTCAGAAATTACTACGGTGATAAGAGAAACTGAATACCGGTATGCTCTGGAGCCCGTTACCACTACCCCAAAGGTACACTAGAGAAATGTTGCACTAACGGCACAGAGAGGTTGTTTTCAAGACAAGACTTGGAGTTATGGTTAACTTACTTGGTGAGCGTTGGACGAGCGCCCTGCGATAGCTTGTCTGTAGGGGGGTGACTCCCTACATTCGGGAAAGACCTGTGAAGCAAGCATTTTTCCCATACCAGCGGGGTTCAGATAAGACGGCTATATCATTGAGGGTCACCCGTGAAACGGTGTTAAATTAGGCCTGCATGCCGCTAGTATGGTCACCAACCCTCGGGGGATTCTCAACCTATCTTCCCCCACGCTGTGAAGCGAGGCTGGCTCCATACCCATGATTTAAGGCGGGCAGGGACTGGGGGAAGATTTATCTTGAACCAAAACTCAAGATGATCGTGCTTCGCCCCAAGGCAGATGGAGAAATTCTCTCTCTAAAACCGATCTGATCCACAGGTCGTTCTGCCAACCCGTAGGCAAGAGAAGAAATCTCTGTAGTGTGCAGTCCCTAGCCTTATAGGGTGGTGAAGCAGAGCAAGCAGCCCTCGTTAAGATAGGAATATCTTTTAAAAAGATAAAAAGACGCTATTTTCATTCAACTTTGCTTGAAAGAGAGAGGATATGATATAAGGTAAGCCCCAATTCCACTGAAAGATGAAATTCAGTCTGCTTGGCTTTTTCTCTAGTTTGCCTTTTTGTCTACCTTCTTTAGTCAATGTCGCATTTCGAGTGCTTGGTTAGATCTCCTAATGTAATGAACGAGAAGTTGCGGTGAATCAATCAGTATTAGCTAAGGAAAGCATGATAATTCTGGTTCTATGACTTCACTTCGCTTCTAAAGTTGGATCGATTACATTGAGAGAAAATTTTTCTTTATAGGGAATCTGTGCTTACTAAGCCTTTGATTGTGAAGGACCGGTCTGAAAGTGCAAGACTAGCTGGACCCGGACTGACTAATCGCTAAGAGCTCACCCTGAGTGGGATAACTCTATGTACGGCATTCAGTAAGAAGTAAGCCAAGTTCAGTGATCCTCGAGAATGAACTATCAGGCCTAAAGCCTAGACGCAGAGGAAAGAACTGATGACTCGCATCCCCTTAATCTGAAACTCTCACAAGAAGGATGGCAAGTCTTGGAATTGATCAAAGTTAGCCAAGTTCTCTTAGCCGTTATGTTAGGGTGACTCGAGAAAGCTTGAAAGGGAATTCCGAGAGCCCTTAAGCTTCAAGCTATCCGCCTTCAAGCCGTGAAGGAGGAATCCGAGTTGCATCCTAAAATAAGGAAGATCGTTCATCAGCGTTTTCAGTAACTAAAAGTCAATCAGGGTCGATGAAGTTGAGCTAATCTCATTCCTTAGGAGCTGGAGCAATAAGAGATGAAAGAGTTTACTTTACGTTGAATACAGGAACTAGTACACTTAGCATAGATGGAATGAACTATCAGAGAAGAGAAGTCATAGAAACCAACGTTCAATCAAAGGTTGAGTTGGATTTACAGCAATAGAAAGATAGAGAACTCCGTCTTCAGCCTTTTGGGCCCCTAGCCTTAGACGCTGTTGCTTTCACTCCTATTGCTTGATCGATTTAGCTGCTTTATTCTTGAGTTAGTTAGTTTGTGCAAACAAAAAGACTTTTTTTTTTTGAAAAAACACAAGCTAGCAGCTCGACGTCTCAAATTGGTCTGTCCTCAATCCTATAGGGTAGGACAAGATGGCTGTCATTGATAGTCTGTGGGAAGGTGGATCATCCCTAGCCGGCCCCTGACTATCGGAAATCGGCCCGAGAGGCTATCATTAACTTCTGCGCAAGAACAGATGATAGATAGAGGGGAACCGGCCGTATAAAGCACTCTTCCCAAGTCAATTTAAAGAAATCCTGCCACCACTTTCTTCTTTCTTCCCAAAGGAATCGTCAAATCAAGTATAGGATCTCTATTACTCTTGGGAATTTAGTTTCAAAAAAGGTGTGTGATCAATTTCGATATTGACTCGATGAGACGAAAGAAGCAAAGAGCCTGCTCATAGCACTACTTCTCAGAGATAGAGTTATTGGCTAAGAAAGCAGTCTATAGTGAAGTTTTCAAGGGTAAGACGAGTGATGTTTTCACATCACAAGTAAACTCTTCCTCTGCCCTTGCGTTGCAAACAAGGAAAAGAATCGATACTCATAATTCACTCTTAACATAATCCTATGAAAATTCATTCAGTAGATAGCTTAGAAAGGTGGCTCGGCTTCGACCCCGGCCCGGTCGGGAAAACCAATTGACTCAGACTAGATTCATTCGTAGCATTGCCTAAGTCCGAAGGCTTTGGAAGCAGGTAATGAACTGCTGGTACCATTGTTTAAAACCCCGATCCCATAGAGAGATGCCGGTCAACAGCTTGCTTTTCTTTTCTTCTTTGCCTTCTTGTTTGCCTTATTGCTTGGCCACCTCAGCAATGGCAACACTACCAGGATGTTAAATCTTAACTTCTAACATCATGGTAGGACTCCTTCTACTTCGTCCGGCTAAACAACTGGGAGAAAGACAGGATGATTTCCCACAGAGGTCACTCGGACTGAGCCTGGGCTATTAACATAGCGCCACCATCCGCCCCATTCCTTCGGGAAAACCTATGGAATTTCTTCCTTTCTGGAGAAATGTGAGTGTGATCTCTGTCTTGATCCCAGGAAGTTCGACCATTTCTGCTTCCTTCTTGTCTTCGGCTAGCTTCCTTTCCTCTTTGCTCTGGGGCGGGAAGCGATCGGTCGCATATCCCACTTCCTTCCCGAGAAAGGCCCAAAAAAGGTTGACCGATACGAAACTGGATAAAGAACAAGGAACCCTTTTGGGAGGTTGTGAAGAAAGGGGATGCAGCAGGCCTCTATTAGGGCGTAAAGCATGGAATTCTGCCTAACTAAGTTTGATCGGGCCTATATTCTCTTATCTTTATCTTTCTATTTTTTCTACGTAAACATATCTTATTTTGTACCTAAAACCTTATGGAAAAGGAAAATCTAAACCTGGAGTTCTAATTAGGAGCTTTCAACGTACACCCAGGGACAAATCTTTCACTCACTGGGGATCGCCTCGAGAATGAAGCGGGTCTTTCCCACGAGTGAACACGGATGGTGCTTCACGTAGGAATCCGAGTGTGTCTGGGGAGGAAGGAAGCTAGCCTATGTGTGTGGAAGAAAGAAAGAAGTAAAGCTAGCAACAAAGTAGTGCTTCCCCTGCCCTTCATTCCTGCCTTAAGAATTCGAATTTCAATCGTTTGAATCTAAACCTTAATCTCTAAACCAACGGGGACTCATGGCGAGTCATCTTGGAGTTGACCACGACCAATGGCCTATTTCGTTCTCTTCCCTTCCCGGGAAGGCGGATCAAAGAAAGGTAGCTTGCTCCTCTCCTGGACCGATGGCGGCAACTGTAGTGGTCGTGATCTGAGACACACTGGAAGTATTCGGGATTATGTGAAAGCTTTTTCAGCACTCATGTTGGACATCCGGGACATGTCGAAAAAGGATAAGCTGTTCACATTCTTGGAAGGCTTGAAGCCCTCGGCACGACTTGAGCTTCAGCGCCAACAGGTATCAGACTTGAGCTCGGCCATGGGTGTTGCCGAGCGGATTATGGATTTCCACGAAGAACGGAGAGACAGACAGATGCCAATGAATATACCCCAAAAAAGAGGAGGGGGCCCCAGTTCTTTTCGAACCGATTCCAATAGAGGTGGGGGAGATAGACAGTCCTTCGCATCGGCCAATCCTCAAGGAAGCTCGAAGAACAGGCCAGCGGAGGGCAAAGAGAGTACAACACCAAGGAACAATGGGTCTTTCTTCTATGATGGGCCTCACGGATTCAGGGAGTGCCTGAAGCGACAGCTTCTAAATGCTTTATCAGACCTTAGTGGTGCGGGAACCAAAGTGAAAATGAAAACCATTCTTTTTTCAGTAAGGTATGAGCCAGTCTTTCCTCCTGGTGACCATACATCGTCTAGTAGTGGGACTTGGGGAGGGAAAGGTCAAGCTGGCGGAGACCCCAGCTTAGAGTAACTGCCCGAGAAGGTCAGTGAGGTTCCAACTGTAGTGAAATGAAGGATCTTTCTTAAAGTTGACTATGGTTGGAAGAAGAAGATGAGAAAAGAAGAGTAGTAATCCCAGGATTAAAAAGAAATATAAGAAAAAGCTCGCGAGAAGAACAAGAAGATATTATCCATTCCTTTGATAGTTTCAAAAAAAAATAATAGATAATGATATTGATAAGAAAGAAATTTTCAAATGTGAGATCTCACTTGCAAGGAATGGAGAGAAAGAACCGTGGATCATTGATTGTTAAATCAGAAGAATAAGAAAGGTAGTTTCTAATTGTATAAAGGAAGACGATTCTCTCAATTACATCGACCCAACAAACTTTTCGAAGCGAAGTTCAGTCATAGAAGCTTCAGCTTGGTATGTGTTCTGAGCGAGCCTTCGAGTGACGTGAACGGTACCTATGAAGTAGAATCCGTCTGTCTTGTCTTCCACCTCATAAGGGAGTTGCGTTCCGGGGGACTCAAAATCTCCACTGAGTCAAGCTTGGACATACTTAACACTGACCCAATTGAGACCGCGGCCACACCTTGAGAAAACAGTGATGATGTGGTCAACCCCGGATACGTGGCTCTTCAATGGGGGAAGTACCACGCTAGCCGTCTGAGTGTGTGGTGTGTAGTGGGTGCGTTTGTCTTCTTACAAAGATAAATCAATGAGAAAATAGATGATTCTCGTTCTCGAAACTCCACTCTTTTTATCTTTCAAACTAGGAGGCATTTGGCCAAGATGTGATCTATCTCTTTCCTTGGTTTGGAGTAGAACTTTTGTTTTCGTTAGCAAGGAATCGGCGTCGAATGATCAAAGCGAAATGCTTTAGGCATCTTTTGAGCATGTTCAGCTTCCAAAATTCCTGGAGTCCTACGGCATTTTCACAGAAAGAAAACATAGCTAGTATAAAACTATTTTGTTATTGTAGAAAGCGATCAGTTCTTCCGATCTTGTTTTGGCTTGGAAAGGTTTCCTTTATCAATTTTAGAAGTGGATGAGCCTATGTAGAAGAAGCTGTAGAAGAGCACCACCACGGTTCAGGTCCTCACACATGGGGGAGCCGCAAAGATCGTGAATCAAGGGAAGGGAAGAATGAGACCAGAATTTGAAAGTCACCCCCGACCGAGACCTAGATGGCGACCTAGAACGTCATAACTGAGAAAGGGAACACCCCTCCCAGAACACAGGCGCCGACCTCTCCGCCACCAGCACAAGTGAATAAGAGAAGAGAACATCTCCGAAGGTAGCGGTATCACCGTCTACAGGTCGAGTCACTTCCCTTCGGAAGTACAGCGCGAATACCGCCATTCTTAAAAAAAGTAGAGGAGGAGATATGGCTATGTATGAGAGGGCCGTAAATAACTCTCTTGAGCCAACTTTCGGGAGGCTCGTTCAGGCTCTCTTTAGAATTTATACTGGTATACTTATTATCGAATGCAATCCATTCGTATTTCCTTCTTTCTTTTTTTCTTGCCGCTTTTCAATACAGAACTGAAGACGAAGGCGAAGGAAGCTCCAGCGGACCCCAAGGATAAGGAGAAAGGAAAGAAGCAGCCGAGCAACCGGTCGAATTGATTTCGTCCGACAAAGAAATGATCTCAACATTTCGTCATGGGATGAGGTTCAATGTAATTGACGACGCTCCTCCTTCTCCTCCCGAGTTCACTTCCGGCTTACAGCGGGTTGCTGTCATCCCTCCTTTGGCAGCGATCCTTTGAATTTCACTACCAGTCCAAGCTGAAGAAGTTCAAGAATAGGTCTTACCCCCTTACTACAATGAATTTATCGATCCTAAGCTCAATTACACCTTTCCTTCACTTCGCTTCGCTTCGTTCTTTGAGTCTCTGACGAAGGAATTGATGCTCTTCAATTGAACAAAACCTTCTTGTCATGGAGCTTCTATGGCCTTTCCCCTGTGGAACTAGTTCCGCAAATCCCTATCGATGAGGGTAGCGAAGTTGAGGGAGACTCGGTCGAATCGATGAGATCTATATCTTTCTAAAAGCATTCCTTCCCAAGAGTGAGAGCTGTCGGGCTGAACCCACAGACGTCCTAGGAGAAAGTTGTATGTTTCGGGGATAAGTGGAATATGTGTCGCGAGAAGGCGTTTCCCGCGGAGATAGTCTTGCTTTTGGGTAGGGGTGTTTCCTCTCCGCTCAACTTCTAAGACCCAAGATCATTCCTTAAGAACGAGCTCCTCCATGATCAACAAGACGAGTGGATGAGTTCCTCTCGATTCCAGCCCGTGGGGCAGTCTCTTTTTTTCTTGATATTTTCCATCATTCACTTTTTTTTGCGGATTCAAAGTCCGATTGAGAAAAGGGTTTGATCGAGAGCTAGAAGATTCGGACCAGATTTGTCATTTTTTTTTTTTCTTTTCCACATCTGCTGCCTTTCAATTTTGAAAATTCAATCATTACGATGAAGCTCTTGTTTCGAACGAAATCCAATAGTCGATCCTCCATCACCCCAAGATGGGCAATTTCTCGAGGAGTTTGGCAAACGGCGAGGCTGTTCCTCTTTTCATTCCAGCCAAAAAAAACCTTTGACCGAGCTATTGACTACAACGACTACGACGACAGGGGGAAGCCAGGCGAAAGGGCTTGTTCCGCAACCTCCCTTTCTTCCGACTTCAAAAGACCTGATGGTGGAAATAAATGGGGAGTGGAGTGGTAGTGATGGTGTCTTTGAGTGGGGAGAATCTCGGGCAGAGGGGATCCTTCCTATCTCACCGCCTTTTGCCAACTTCTTCCCTTCACCGCTACTTCATCGGGCTTGAATTGTGGGCCCTCACATTCAATCTCCCTGTAAGCAACGACGTTAGACTTGCTCCTCTTGGGAATAATTTCCATCATCATGGATACAATACATAAAGAACCTGGGTGAAAGAAGGACATTTTAAATGCTTGCTTGAGCGGCGGCTTCGGCTCGTTCTTTCTGGATGGAGATAGAGTGAATCTTGTTTGCAGTTTCTGAACAGTCACCTTGCCCCGATCCAACTCTTGTCTGGTCTTCTCTCTTTCTTTGTTGATCAGATTCACATAGATATTCGCTTGTACAAGTTCTGCATAAAGTTTTTTATGTTCAAGCCTTTCTTTGCTTTGAGCAGGGCGAGAGGTTAGGAAGCGAGAGGAAGAGTGAAAGTCCCCCCTATGTTGTAAGTTCAAAGAATGGCTTGAGTGAAAGCAGGAGTGGAAAAAGACAGATTGAAAGCAAAGGCAAGGGAGCTGAGAAAGGTGAGATAGTGCGAAAAGGCAGAGGCGCGAGCCCTTACTATACTATAAAGGAGCTTTGAGCGAGGGTGGGAGGCTGAGGGTTGCTTTTTATTACATTACGTCACGTGGAGTCAAAGGTTCTTTCTTACGTACGTAATGAAAGGGCACGTTCTCCTGAAACTATCAGGATCATTCATCAAAGCCCAACCAAGTTTCATGAGGAAAGCGTCATTCATCGCTGCCATTCACCTGTCAACTACTATTCCCTCAATTACATCGAACGAAGTTCAGTCCTGGTTACATTGACCAGGTATCGATCTGGTTCCGAGAAGCTTGTTATCAAAACCTTACTTTCCCCAGGACAAAAACTAAAGATCTATGTAAGATTACTGCGCTAGTACCTATTGATAGGTTTTGGAACATGGAAGCATAACAGCTTGAATTCCCTTCTATCAAGCGATGGAAGAGCCTCTAGCGGCGGACAAGAGCTCTTTCCGTTAGAGAAACTTGGGCTTAAAATCGCCTGATGTGATTGCTTTCTTGCCTGAAAAATATCGAGGGATTTTTTTTACTGTTAACGGGCCAGTAGGTATTGTAACAACATAAAGGGAAGCCCTATACAGGAGTTAAGCCTTAGCAGCGTCGGTAGCGTCAATTGCATCGAACCGCGTAGTGGGCTTGAAGTCTTCGTTCTTCTATCTTTGGTCGAGCGTATAAATAGCCTTTTGTCTAACTATCTTCCTAAGGAGTAGGTAGAGGAGGAAGAGGTAGAGACAAGCAGTAGAAGGATTCTATGACTTCACTTCGCTTCGCTTTGTTTGTACCCAAAGGTCATCAATTTCATCGAGCCTGGTCTTGCTCGAGAGAAAGGAATAGCAAAGAATGAATAGGATCGACGAAGTTGAGGCTGGTCTAAGGATATTCCCATTGGTAGAACCTCCAAAGTGAAGACTGTACCCTCTGGTGTATCTATCTGGTGCAACCTTTCTGTCTAAAGAAAACTCCCTAGCAAACTGCTAGTGCGAACCAGTCAACAAGTACGAACAGGCGAACGAACGGGCCAGCTAGTGTGACGTAGAATGTGAAAAGTCTATCCATTTGATTTCAATGTGAAAAATCAACAAGTACGAACAGAAGCGGAAGCAGGTACTTGTTCTACCCTCTGTCGTCGATTCCTACTCGCAAGTAAGCTTGACTTTTTGATTTCAATGCGCGTCACTGAATCTTATTGTCAAAATAATGACGTAGAATGTGAAAAGTCTATCCATTTTTTTCCTTGCTAGTGTAACCTAGCCTCATTGATTCCCTATACAAGCCTGAAATCTCTTATCACTTGAAGGAACCTGGCTAGAAAACCTAAAAAAGGAAAGCTAGATCTTCATAAGAGCTCATTAAACTGACCGAGTTAGAAAAGGAATTTCATGAGATGTAACATAAATAATAAAGATCAAAGTAGGACTAACACTATAAGACAAAAAACTAGCACTATGGTCCTCAATTACCTCTTCCCTCGTACTTTGGTTTTTTCCTTCACTTCGCTTCGTTCTTTGGGTTGTTTGCAGGTATTTCATTAGCATAAGACGAGTCGTCAGAGCTAGTAATGAAGATGGCATGAAGATCGGCATATGACTCTGACTCTTCGAGACGATAGCATGACGAGCAATGGCTAGTGACGGAAGACGATTTCTCGCTCTCTTTGGACTAAGTGAAGACAGTCACTTTCAAGCACTCCCGCTAAAGCTAAAGCAGAAGATGCGGCTTAGCCAGCTGCACTCTTTGATCAAACCGTCTGTTGTAAGAAGAAGGCCTCCATGTACGAAGGAAACCCTATAGCCCCTTCGATTCTGAAAGGCTAAAGACCAGTTGTCGGACTTACGATTGTTTAGAGAATTCCATGTCAATTAGGATTTGGCTACGACTTGTGCCACTTTCACTCCAATCCATCCTTGTCCCCACTACCATATGAGTTGGTCGGAAAGGCCACTTTGATCTGTCAGAAGTTGACCTGGGAGAGCACATTCAGGAATTTGTCTGAGCTTGGTTGATTGTTGATCTTCTACGCAAAACGAAGTGAAGTCAAAGACGTTGCCAGGAGAGGAGAGGGAAGATTACATTGAGCTTGGATCGACCGAGTTCATCAGTTTTGGGGTATAAGGTGCCTTAGTTTCTTCTCTTTTTTGTGAGGAGAAGAAGTCAAGTAGACTGTTGAGCATATAGCTCGGTTCTCGGTCCAGTGCGGGGAAGCTAGGTCCAAGGACTACCTCAAGTTGAGGCTCTTTGCTCTCTTACTAAATCGGCCTTCTCCTGGTATATGAACATCCCCCTTCTATTAACAGTTGGTACGATCTGGAAAGCGAGTTCCATGAGCAATTCTATAAGACAGAACCTGACATTACAGTGGCCAATTTGGCAAGACTTAGTCATCTCCAAAGGCACTTACAGTGAAGTAAGTTATTAGTTGGTGCCATAGGATCGATTACATTGAGTAAAGAAGGAGCGAAAACGGAAGCATGGTCAATGTCCATACATTTCACTCAGAGCTTCAGATCGCGGATCTTCTTACGAAGTCCCATACCACTATGCGATTCCGATACTCGTCAATTTACATCTCTCCGAATACGCTCTTTGACTGAACTGCGCTTCGTCGGTCTCGTTCCTTTAAACCTCTCTTACCATTTCACTTTTGCACTAAGTTACAACGATCTCTTCAAAAGTCAAGTTCAAAGGGGCCCGCTTACGCACTCCCCTTTCCTCCCATTGCGGGGAGCCTCGCACTATAGATCAAGAAGACTACAACCGCTTTTAAAACAGCGGCCTTTTGCTTAAATAAGCAAGATAAGGTCGATCATCAAATATCCTGTATACAAAAGTCGAGTAGTCACTTCCGTCGTTCAGAAAGACTTCGCCTAATTCTTTTTCATCCTGGCCTCCCCACTAACTAATTAGCTTACGACCACTGAACAAACTTGGTTGACGAACATAGTTTATGCGCCGCTAATGTAGCGGCTTGTCGAGCATTTGACAAACTCACACCATCCATTTCAAATAGGATTTGTCCAGTGGACACACGAGCAATCCAACCCGTAAGATTTCCTTTTCCTCTTCCCATTCTGACTTCTGTAGGTTTTCCGATAATAGGGATATCCGCGAGAACTCTTACCCATATCTTACCATTTCTTCGGGATTGTCCGCTCATAGCACGATGGACATGTCCGATTATAGCCCGACGCGCTGCTTCAATGGCTCGATATGAAAGACAACCTGCTCTACAACTTTGAGTTCCATATCTTCCAAAACCAAGTTGTGTACCGTCCGGTTTGAAACCCTTACTACATCTGCATTTACGATATTTATTATATTTCATACGTTTTGGATATAGCACGCCTTCTCTTCCTCTCCTTTACATTCGACTCAACTTTGTCGATCCTCTCCCGTTAGTCGAGCTCAATTACATTGACCCTTGATCTTCAAAGAAAACTGACTCCTCCTGGCACTTTTAGGATATGCTCGTCGTTGGTCCTTAGGTCACTGTCACAGTCACGGTCACTTTAGTATTTCCAGTGTAATGGGAGATTTGGATTATGATAGTAAGGAACGAAGTCTTTCAACCAACTATATGAAATCCACACTTTGACACATAAGATTTCGTAACGAGTAGATACTTCCGCAGGAGCATAATCTATTTTTTGGTTAAAAACATTACGAGATCTTTTTCCATACTTTCCGCATTCAGTTCTAGCTATTTCTGCACCTTCTGATCGACCTGAACAACATATACGGATCCCCATAACCCTCTTTTTCATTACTAATGGAATCTTCTTCACTATTTGACTAAAAATGGAACGAAATGATCTTTTTTTGGTCCTCAATTGAAAAGAGATGTCTTGAGCAATTGGAGAAGCACTTTGATAAACAGATTTGATCTTAACCGATTTAATTAAGGTATTAGTCTTTGTTTTATTAGACAACAAAGATCGCATTTTTTTCACTTTGTTCAAATAAGACTTGTACCCGTACGGAATTATTCTCTTTCTCAGTATGATCTCTATCATCATCTCTATTCCCTTTATCAATTCTCCTATCCTACCTAGGTCTATGAATTTCTCTATCAATTCCATTACCTTATCCTTACCCATGAGGTTCGAACATTTTTTCCAACATTGACCTAGGAGTTGTTTACGGGCATTCAAAAGTTCTTGACAGAGCCTAATCCTTTGAACCCTTTGAAAAAAAAGGTAGCACCGAAGAAAGGAAAGAGCGAGATGGTAGTTTTTCTTGTTCCCGCAAAGCGAAGATCATTCGCTTGGCGAATGAAGTGGGTCAACCTCTTTTTGGCTTCGGCCAAACACTTTTTCTCGCTGGTCGAGCTTTCTACAAAAAAAGCGATGCGAGAACGTATTCTCTTATCGTCACTTCTTTCCTGTGCATTAGCTCCCCCCATCATAGATAGTTCAGCCACGGAATGATTGAGAACGGAGACGGGATCGAAATGCATTTTTCTCTTTGTATTCAATAAGTATTGCATGACCGAATAATTCAAGGAAGAGCGCACTGCGGGGCGGGTCCTTTGTTGTAGATGACTCGTCCAGCCGGAGAAGCGGGACTTCTTTGGGCAAAAGAACAAGAATAACTTCCTTCTTTTGAAAGCCCGGATCCTGGATTTGATTTGAGTATGCTTGAAGGCCCCGCTGACCCGAAGTGATGACGAAAGATGATTCTTTATCGATGGTGATCGGTCATGGTATCCATAGCCTTGCTTCTTTTTCGGCCAAATCCTTCTTTCTTTTTGCTTCTTCCGATCGTCGAGACTGATCGACTTGACTCTTTTCCCCGACCCCCAGCCTCTCACTTCGTTTCGTTCTTCTTTTATACCGTCGCTTGAATGAAGACACCCGATCGGCCCGACTTTCCCCAATTCCCACCACCGTCCCTTCGCGGGTCTGGATTTTTCGTGTCGTTTTAGTCGTCGTCGTGGTCAACGGGGAAGAAATAAATGAATCAATGTTCTTTTGGGAAAATGTAGAATAATACACCTACCGAGGCGAAAGCCAAAGGTGAGTCTCGTAGGTGGACGTATCGAACCGAAATAAGATCTCCGATTGAGATCTTGATACACTGATTTCCCATAATAATAAATAGAGTCAATGGTGACTCCCTTTCTCCAACTATTTGGGGGAAGAGCCGCTTCCTTCTTGTGGGGGGGGCTTCTATTCACCAACGCAAACTAAAAGTGCTCTCCGAACCGTGCTGGATAGTGACCCATCACACGGCTCTCAAACCCAACCTGTGGTGGATCCCGGGAGACAAAGTCAAAGCGCTTGATCCTTTGCCCCAAATTTCTATGACTTCACTGCGCTTCACTTCGTTCGTACCTGTCGATCAAGGATTTTGATTCTCGTGATAGGCGACGGCCGCTATCGTTCGGTTCGGATAAGTCAAGTCCCTTCGGTCGGTTCGCTCAGGTGGTCTTCCCTTATCTTCTCTAACGTTCAGCCTTGTTCTGGTTTGAGATAAGAAAGGGTGCCCCGGTAGGACTTCAAGGAGTTTTCGTGTACTTTAGAAGCAAAGCGAAGTTCAGTCAAAAACGTTGCCAGGTACTTTAGAAGCGAAGCGAAGTGAAGTCATAGACAAAAGATGTAATTGAGAGCGCCATGAATGAATAAGAAATTGACAGCAGAGGGAATCAATGATTCTTATTCGACCGAGTTCTAGCTAGCAAGATGTCGATTACACACCGGAGGTTGGTCAGAACTGAGGTTAATTACATCAAGCCTAAGTGGGCCTACCAGCGAAGCAATTGGTACTTGATCGGGCGGGGGGCGGTTTGGTTTCGTGCAAGGCCCTCGCAGCAAGAAGAGGCAGTTGTCATTTGAAAGACCCTTTCTATTTTATTATCAAAGCCTAAACGTCCTTTATTGAAAACTAAAGCCGCTAACGCGCCTTTACTAAGAAACTAATCGTCATAGTCTTTTAAATCCTAATGAAATAGACCAATCCGAACCAGATTTCTCACTTCTTGCTTTAGTTTAGTTTGATTGCAACTAGCGCGCTTGACTAATAAGATAGAAAGCTTGTCTCCTCTCCTATCTCAATTGCATCTTTCCTCTCCTCTCCTTACTATGGTTTTATGACTTCACTTCGCCAATACTTATGACTTCACTTTGCTTCATTTGTTGGGTCGATTTAGGCTCCTTCCCTTTTACTGCATAGCTGCGCTAGCAGCTACTACGAGCCCTCTGCCCCACGCATCTAACCAGCTCGCGTGGTTCACCGGTTCCACCGAAAACTCTCATTTGTTGAAGCGGAGCATAGTGCGGTTTAGGCGCCGAGTCAATTGCATCTCTCCTCTCTTCTATGACTTCACTTCGCTTCGTTTGTATGGTCGAGCGTTAAAAAGGAAACCTTGACTTTCGTTTCGGGTTATTCACTGATCTGAAACTTTGCACTTCTTTTCTTATTGATTCCAAGGGCGGCGACATTCTTTCATTCAGTCTATCCGAACCGAATTAGCACTTCTCCGATCAGGCTAGGCCTCTCCAGCTGAGCTGGGCGCTGAGGCCCTGGATGCGCTAGCGATTGGCACATAGGGGAGTGATTGCCGGGGTTTCTCAGCCTGGTATCATGCACCTCGCGTTCATGATTTCTACATTTCAACTGTGCCCCGGAGACAGGGTCGAAGCACGCCCGTCCAGTGTGCTTCTTTCACGACATGCTCTAGTCCTGGGTGTCTTTCAGTGGTCTTCTAGCCTTAGAATAGAAGAAGTCGTGTCCGCCACGAACATCCGCAACGTCCTCCCACGCCTTTTTTTATTTGAAATCTGGGACAAACTGAAGGAAAAGACTGACCTATTCGGTGACTTTCGCGGTCGCCCTCACTGAACCAACTTGAATCTGAACTACGATTCAGATCAAGTCTTACCGAAATCGGATTTCCTTTTCGTGCCATATGTACTTAGACTTGACTTTTTTCCCCTTTTGGATTCTCGGTCCAATATATCAAAGAGGCGAAGATGTCTTCGTTTCTGTGTATCTGATCTCCTCTGCTCTTACTGAACCTACCCACAAAAAGAAAGAAGAGAAATTTTGCCCCGAGAGAGGCCGCCTTCTCTCAGGCCAGCAGTCTTATACTTCTAGTCGACTGCTTTATGACGGGCTTCCCTGTAGTTATGGCCCCAAAAGCTCTGCTCGCTTCGTCTAGGCTCCGACGCTCAAAATTCATTGAAAAACGCGTCGAAAAAAAATGGAAATAGTTCTTAGGGTTACGGATGACATATAGTGTTGTATGATAGATTCAATCGCCTACAATTCAAAGCAGCTCGCTCTCGGGGCATATCCGTTACAGGGCTCCCTCTTAGGTCCACAAGCAGCTCCCCTATTAGACTTTGATCTTAAGTAAGCTTCATTCCATCCAGCCTCTAGTTAGAATCAATCAGGGCGGGGTTCACAGAAAGGACTGAAAGCAGTATCGCTGCTGCCGTCACTCTTCGTCAGGCCACAAGAAGGCGGCCCTCGTTGATCTATATTCAAGAAGTGATGGGATAGAACGACCTATCTGAGTATAGATCCAACGCCGAGAACGAGAAAAGTCGGCCGCTAAACGTAGAAAGCGACGATGGCTCCATACTGGGTATTAGTTGGCTTAGGAGGAGAGAGAATAGAACGATGTTGGTGCAGGTCGAAGGGAGGAGAGTGGGTTAGTAACAAAAGGTTCCGTCGCTGATCTCTTCGCTTGCTAGTGACTGACCATCTTACGGGAGAGGGAAAGAACGGGACCTATACCTATCATTCTAATTCGAGTTTCAACGCCCTGAGTTCATGAAGGAATGGACTAAGGTGAGTAAGGGTGCTGAAAGTCTAAAAGAAGCTTCATAAATTACCCAACAAACGAAGCGAAGTGAAGTCATAGAAAAGTAAAGGGAACGAATGAAGCGAAGTGAAGTCATAAAGAAAGAAGGATAAAGAGTTTCAACTGATGGGGCCGTTCTTTAATTGAGTAATCCACTTAGTGAATCGGCTCTGACGCTCTGCGTCCATGGGATCAACTCCATCGCCGAGATCTGTAGGATCCGAAACTACAAGCTCTTTTCAAGCTCGGAAGAAATATTATCAAACAATTTACATTGCCTGCTGATAGGTATGTAATCGAAGAATCAGGATCAATGTAATTGAGGGATATGAAAGACGATATGCTCGAACCGGACTGCATCTTGATTTGCACATGGATAATCTGCTCTTACAGAGTCGCTACGCACCTTTGGTTCAAAACTCGATCGAATACGTCGTTAACCTTTGTGGTGGATCGACGAGAGTGCGCCTAGCCAAGAGTGTGGTTGATGTCATCACCTCTCGTGTGCTAGCTGTGCCTTCGTCAATTACATCGAACCTACTCTTTCACGGAGCGATGACTAAGAGCCAGGAATTCGGTTAGTAGAGACTTGATTCCAACCACGAATGAGGTCTCTCGAGCCATCTTACCCCACCTGTCCTCGATGAGCGGATATGCTTATGTATACGTATGCGTATCATATTACGCCTAAGATGCTTGCACATGGGCTACTATGGAGCTACTACCGCCACGCGTCTCTGGTAGAGTAGAGCGGAGGGCTATTCGGTATGGTGAAAGACATCAATAGCTCAGTCGGGGGATAAGTCAGAATGGTAATAATTCACATTTGTACCAGTATCTTGACTATCCGTACCCATGGATATAGCACTTCATTCGTTCGTGCAACACCTAGTAATAGTAGAACTCATCGTTGTACATTCCACATCCAACTCATCTCATCGTACTAAGGTCCAGTCCCAACCCATCATATTTAGCATGCCTCCATAACTTCCATGTTCATATTCGGGTGAGAGGAATGAAAGACTATGGAGAAGAGCAAGAAGGGATCTCAAACTAACTGCTGCTTCATCTTCTTATGCTGAACCGACTGCTGCTCCTTCTTGAAAACCTCTAAATTACATCTATCCTCAATTACATCGACCCTAAGCCTAAAGGGGAAGGAGGAAGAATTGCGTTCTAGTGCCTTATTTGTCTACGTAGCGTCCGATTCCATTCCTGACTAGCGGACAGAAAGAAAGAAGCCTCAATTACACCTTCACTCTCCAGGGACTGAACTTCGCTTCGAAAAGTTTGTTGAGTCTCACTTTGCTCTCCTTAATCATTTAACTGGGTATAATAACTCCTCCCTTATAGTAGAAATTCTTCCAAGAACGGATTCTTCAACATGTTGATTTGATAAGATATGCTGCTGATTTCAATAGCCAAGTAGCTTTCCAGCTGGCGAGACAAATACTTTATACGTAATTCGAAAACCCAGTCTGGTACTAGAGCTATAGGAAAAAAAGCTATAACAATGGAGGTTGGGAATGACTATTTGTTACTCACCTTGGAGTATGCTGACCGAAGGCAAAGGTGCACTGCCTACTATTATCTTTCTTTTCGACTTCAGGAGCTCATCAAGCGACTCAGCCTGACTGTACTGATCCTTCAGTGTATCAATTCCGGAGAAATAGGGTTTGGTGAGTTCGAATCAATGGAAGAAGTTGCCTCTCTTAGGCCTGTGAGCCTAATCTATCTGTCTTACATGCCCGATTCCATCTTCCACTTTTACCTACTGACCAGATTCAATCTACCCGTCAAATCAACCCGAAAGTGGCAGTCTAAAAATATTCCTCTCCTTTCGCGTCGAGACTATGTTATAACCTTTTCTTGACTTCGCTTCGCTTCTAAAGTTGGGTCGATTACATTGAGTTTGCCATCCATCTCTTTCCCATCTTACTCAATCAACAGGATCCAATTCCCTACTATCTCCCCCCGCAGGCAGGCGAGGTCCTTGACCAGAAAGATTGATAGGGAATGATTGGGATAAGCATCCCACCGTCAGATGCTTTTTCAATTACATCGACCCTTATTTGTCATTTCCCCAGTCATTCATTCTGCTTGTCCTTCCATCGAGAAAAGAAAAAGAAGTTGAAATCCCTGCGACTGATGGCCGCTCCAGCATCCGATCCAACTCATTCAACTGCAGGCAGCCATTGCTTCGTTCCCTTAGCGGGAATCCAATTCGAACCATTCTCTTGATGTTTCGAGTGAATGCCTCATCGGAAGGACGATTGGCTTCGAGTGAAGGCCACCCATTGAAGCAGAGATGTAAACCCTTGCGGAAGAATTGGAGTGAAAGGCAAAAGAGTTGACCGGTGCCCCCCTGGTTCCCTACTTGTCGGTTATCCATTCTCGCTTTCCTTTCTTTAACTACTGGTCCCGTGTCCCGTACCTCTCCCTTGGCCTGGGAATGATAGAAGAAGGTATTGAAAGAGGAAGATGTCAGTAAAGCGTGATTGAATGATTTATGGAAGACACCTTTCCCCAGAAAAGCCAGATGGATCCATAGTTTCTTCTATGCCTTCACTGCGCTTCGCTTCTAAGTTGGCTCGATATAATTGACCTCAACGAACGAAGCGAAGTGAAGTAAAAAACCTTTGATTAAGAGAGAGAGGTCCCTTTCCCGGATGCACCCGATGAACGAAAAAAGCCCAGCCATTCAGTTAAGATGTCGGGACCGGGATCAGAAAGGAGGTCCCTACCGGCGGTAGGAGAAACCATAAATCCAGGAGAGCAAAGTGAGTCTCGACCAAACGAACGAAGCGAAGCGCAGTGAAGTCAAAGAGCTCAAAAGGAGAGAGGAAATTGACCAGCTTACTAACGAAATTTCAGATCAGGGAATCCGATAGTCCGAATGCGAAAGAAGTAGCTAGTGAAGGGGTATACGGTATTCCTTGATGGTTGATCTATCTAATCTCCTAAGCCTAAGGAGAGCAAAGTGAGACTCAATTATATCGAAGCGAAGTCATAGACAAAAGAGGAGATGTTGGAAAAGGCCAGCGTGAAACTAAGAAAGAGAGATGTGCCTAAGACGGCATGTAAGCAAACTGTGCATGCTAAGAGAAGAGGAGAGATGCTCGTAATTACTACCACAAGAAAGCCGCCCCCTATCTTAGAAAAGGGGCCCGTCACTTCGTTCGTACCTTCTTGGCTTAGGCTTTCAACTGAAGAACATGGCCTTGCCGCCCCCCTTCTTTTATCTTGGCACGAGAATACACGGTAGGAAAAAGCTTCTTGGTCATAGGTCAATGTAGTCTTTAGAAGTGAAGTTCAGTCATAGACAAAAGAGGTAATTGAGTTTGAGATCAAGAAAGAACTCCTAAGCCGATATTGAATGCCTACGAACGCATCTTTTGATAGTCCCACGTGTGATTGTGCGTGCAACACCCCGCTAACTAGGGCCAATTTTTCGCAAATTTTAACTCTTTCGAAAACGCTTATAAATTTTTCGAAATCATTTGCAAACTATCTCGGGATGCTGCTAAGGACTTTTCTGCTTAAAAACCCGTTTCTTTAACCTAGGTCTAACAACTGGTTTAGACTTAATGAATTCAGGTTTATATTCTTACGAATCATGCATATTAGTCTGGACCCGTTCGTACTGGCAAACCGGGTAAAATTATTTAAGTCTGAAAATAGCATCATGCATGTTCGAAAATAAACACAAGCATAGCGGAAGTCTGAAATGCGTGGAATTATTTAGTTTACAAACAGTTTAAA